CAACACACACAGGGACCGCGGGCTTGTCCCTGCCCTCTGCCCCCACCAGGCAGCAGCCGCAGCACCAGATTCCCTGGCACTGGCGCTCCCGGGGGATGAGCCTGCTTCCTGCACACTCCCACGACTCGGTGGTGCCTCCGAGCCCGGAGGGAATTGCTCTTTTTTTGGTTTTTTTTGGTGAGAAAGCAGAGGGGAGCCAAGGGAGCTGTCCTGCCCCTCGCCGTCACAACCCGGCGGTGTTTACTCTGCCACGGGCTGGGGGGGGGAAAAAAAGCCAGGAAATCCTAAGTGACAGCTCATTCCCTTGTTTTCTACATGTCTGCGAGCGAGTGTGAGCTCCAGCTCCAAATTTCCTGCCTTTTGTTGGCTCGTGGCACGATTTAAATGTATGGAGAATTCCCCCCCAACACACACACACCCCACCCCGCCCCTCTCGCCCTCAATTCATTTACGAGTCTTCATTGTTCTGGGAACAATGGGAATAGGAACAGTTAGTTCGGTCCCATGGAAGAAAAACGCATTTGCTTGATAGTTCTGATCCTTCCGGAGGTCAGGACCAGATTTTTATTCTTCTAAATTGCAGATTTTGCAAAAAAAAAAAAAAAAATCTACCCAGGCAGAGGGACTGGCCATACAGATAAGGGCCCTGGGCACTTCCAGCCTTAAGGAGCACTTGGTGTCTCCACAGAAAAGGGCCCTGTTTTGGGAATCCCCAATTCCCAAAGTGGAGGTGTATCCCTGCTCTCCACACCCTCATCTCTAGGGCAAGCAGGTCCCTTTTGCTTTAGAGCTTTAGGTGCCTTTTTTGTTCCATTTCTGGCACTTCACCTGGGGGACCACCTGGCCCACGGGAGGGTCCAGCCCTGGATCTGGGGTGGGCACAGGGGAGGGAGCAGCACAAACACAGTTCTTACACAGGCAGCTGGAGAGGAGCAAACACAGGTCTCACCAAGCAAAGGGATAAATCCCTCCTGGAGGAGCAGCCTGCCCTGACTGCAGGACAAGGACAGCTCAGGGACTGTCCCTTCCACTGCCCTGAGCTGGTGCTGAGCCCCTCTCCCCAACCCCAGTTCCCCCATCCCCAGCTGGGGTGGTGAGGATGAGCCCCACTGGCCCTTGGAGTCGGGACACAAGCAGGGCCACTGTGTTTATCCTGTTTATCTAGGCAGGATCCTGTTACTCAGCTCCTAAAGCAGCTTTGGTTCTCTTGGGGCTGAGCCTTGGCTGTGTCTGGGCTGTTTGGCACCAGGCAAAGAGCTCCCCAAACCCCCAAACCCTGCAGGGAGCCCAAACAGCCAGAAAAAGGAGATGAGCCACAGCACAAACCCCAAAACAAGGACACCGGTCCCCAAAGCACCTCCCTGCAGAACCCACAGTGTCCCACACCGTCCCCAACCCCACCAAGCTGCACCCCCAGTCCCATCTCCCACCAGCCCCCCCTCCTGAGCTGGCATTTGCTCACAGACTCTCTGCCCGGGCTCATTTTGCTGCTTTCCTGCCTTTTTCAGCAGGTTTTCCTTTTTTCCAAAGGGGGAGAGGGGCACCTGAGCATCCCACCAAGAGCCTGAGGGAGCCAGAGGACCAACCAGGCAGCAGGACCCAACACTCCAGCCTCCACTTGCCAAATTCCCAGGGTTTTTCCTTCCCCTGGCAGCTTTTAACCACCGTTAGGAGCTCAACAAGTTGCTGCATCCCACAGACAATGTGGGGATAATCCAGCTCCTTCCCTCCAGCTGCTATTTCGGTCTCTCCCCCCCAGGAACACGGGATCGTTCCCTGCTATTGTATCCAGGCTACTCTGGAGCAACCTAAGCACAATGGAGTGTCCCACACTTCCCCTGGGAAACCACCTTCCGGACAAACACATCCCTCTCAGAGGAACAGTTTTCCTGATTTCCAGCCCCTTGGAACGGGCTGGATGATGAAATTTCCGTTCTGTGGGAAAACTGAATTTTAAAATATTGTTTTTCGTTCCAAATCTGGACGAAAAGGCGAAATTTTTTTCTCTCAGAACGAAAGATTTTGGCTGGGGAGTCATCCAAGCCCTGTGTTTTGATTATGTTGAGCTGCTGAATTTTTACTAAAGCAAAGCCATTTTGCTTCAATGACATCAACAAGCTTTGCACATCACACTTGTGCCAGAGTCAAATTGAGACACTTCCACTTTAAACAAAAAAAGCAAGAACTCAAAATGAATCATTTCAGCCTGTGCCTTGTCAGAATACACACAGCCCTGCGAAAACTGGGGTGGAAATGGGTGGTTTGAGCATTTTAAAACAGAGTTGCTGCTCCGAGTTTCCATTTCTGTGGAACCCTGGGGGTTTAAATACCCCTCACCATCATCTCCCCCCCTGATATTTACACCTCAAAGAAGGGTCAGCAGGTTTGGAGCTCAGCATCCCCAGCAGGGCTGGCTTAGTTTAAACAAGGAATAAAGTCAGTTCCCTCCGTGAGGATTTGGGAAAGGCAATAACAGCTTTGGCACAGGGACGCGCTCCAGAGCTGTGCACATCCAGCTCCCCCACTCTATTTGTGTTTGCCTTAACCTTCATCCCCAAAACTGGTCTCCAGCACCCCAGACTCCCTGCTGTATTCCTGGTATTCCTGCAGCGTGTGGGAATTGTGCATTCAGTGTGGGCACACCACTCCCAAACCACCCACTCGAGCAAATGGCACTGGAGCACATCGTGATGCACGAGCCCAGCTCCCAACCTGCTGGGCACAGCCTGTGGTCCCATCCTGCCCCAAAATGCCCCCAGGACACTGCTGGGAACAGAGGGGGCTCTGGCAGCCACCATCAGTGCTCCCGATCTCAGACCCACTGTGGGGTTCAAAGCAGGCATTAAACTGCTGCTTCAAAACTAAATTAGCCTGCCCAGAACTGACTGGCAAAGGAGATAAGGCTCCGGTGTAATTAAAAGCACATTTCCCATGGCATAGGCAGAGCTGGAGGTAATTAAAGCTCTTTCTCCTCCCAGGCAGAGCATTCTTTTGCTACTTCTGCACAGAAGCTCATTACAGCCCCTGCCCAGCTCCTTCACCTGCCTGTTCTCCTCCCCTCAGGGAGCTGTGAAAGCCCCTGCATGAGGTGCACTGGGGTAAGTTTTAGTTATAACTCTCAGAAAATGGGAGGAACACGAGGAAACCTGTTCCCTTTGCCCGGTGCAGAGTGGTGAAAGATCCAGGGACAGGGAGAAGGAGCAGCCACACATCCTCCTGCCTTGGCAGCAGGGCAAGGGCTGAGCTTCAGAGGGGAGGGGAAGGAGACAGGAACCAGGAGGTCCTTCTGGCCGGATCCCCCCTCACTTCTCCTGCAGGAGCTCCCCAGGTGAGCAAAGGGGCACCAGCTCAGCTGTCCCTGCCCTGGCAGATCTTTATAAGCAGAAAACAGAGCATTTTATGGCCAGGGCTCCAGGGGCTGGGCTCTGCTCTGCCCTCGGGGCACCCCAGGCCTCCCACCCTCAGGGGTTCCCATCCAGGAACCATCCCCAGGCTTGGCATCAGCCCTGGCACGAACAGCACCACTTGGCAGGGCCGATGTTTCCCGCACCAACAGGCTGTGCTCTTATCACCCCACATCTCCATGGACCATTAGACACAGGCTGGGAGGGCTCCTGCTGCCAGGGCAGGGACAGCAGCAGCAGCTCTGCTGCAGAGGGACTGGAGATGGGCATGACACAGGCACAGCCCTGCCAGGCTGGGCAAGGGACCAGCTGCATTTCACCGTGGTGGGGTTGGGTATTAACCAGAGGCAGGGAACAAAGGCCAGGTTGGATGGGGCCCTGGGCACACCTGGGGTGGTGATGGCATCCCTGCCCACGGCAGGGGGTGGAAGGAGGTGATCTTTAGGCCCTTCCAACCCAAATTATTCTGTGATTCTATTCTAGGATTCTAAAAGAGAGCCCAGGGGCTGCAGGAAGGAGCAGCTCGCTGGGGATCCCCTCTGGGACTCAGCAGGGCAGGGGAAGAGGACGGGCACTGAACTCCAAAGGAAGGGCCACGGGGCCTCTACATCTGCTGTGATACACCAGGAAACACAATAAATAGGCAGAGACACCCTGACCAAGCTTTCAGTTCACTGATGGGCACTTTGCTGTGAATATTTTGGACAATCCTCTCCTGACACACCGTCCCCACAGCACTGAGCTCCTCCCCAGTTGACTAGGGAGGAAGAACCTGGGGGTCTGAGTGCAGTTTGCTGGTCTAACTCCTGCTCAGGGGATGCTGGAGGTACAAACTGCTCCCAGAGGGATGGTCCCTCCACCCCACCCCGTCTGACCACTGCAGAGTCCTGCCCTGATGGAACCCGGGCACTTGGCAAAAAATGAACCTTTTCTGTGGACCAGCAAAACCATCCTCGTGCCTCTCCCCATCACCAGGAGTACCCAACAGGCACCAGCACCCCCCAAACCCGAGGAGCAGGGATCTTCCCAACCAAGATCCCGGGCCACTCCCAGATCCCAGCCACTTACATTGATGAGGGCCATGATCCAGAAGGCGTAGGAGACACGGGTCACCACCATGCCCTTCATGGGCAGGTCGTAGTGGGACAGGTTGCCCGGGTGGTGGGGCACCAGGGACTTTCGGATGTGAGGGAGGTTGCTGGAGGCGTTGGCTGTGGAGCTGGAGGCGTTGGCTGTGGAGTTGGACAGGATGCAGTTGGTGTCTGACAGGAAGGGGTCGGCTATGAGGGGGCTCAGCAGGGCCCCAAAGCCCACGAAGAAGTGAAGGGCCTGCAAGAGAGGAGACCCACGAGTGGAAGAGCGGGGTCACTGCTCTGCAGGGGGGGGGCAGAGCCCCTCCCTCCTCTCCCTCCCAGGAGGAAGCCCAGCCCCAGGGCAGGCACAGACCCCACACCCACCTGCAGGAAGATGGCAGAGTCCTTCTGGTAGATCTTCACCAGCTGCATGTTGGAGATGGTGTCGATGCAGCCCATGGCCAGCCCTGCCACAGCCATGACCACAGCCAGCACCACCACATTGTGGCACAGGGGGATGATGGCAAACACCAGGGAGATGGCCAGGGAGGAGGCAAAGAGTGCAAACAAGGACTGAGCCAACCTGAGAGCGGGGAAGAGGAAGGACAGGACAGGATTAGTACCACCAGAGTAGCACCCACACCACACCTGCCCCCTGCCCCCAGCTCCAGGGCAGGAATTAGCAGGAGAAGCACCCACAGGCTGCAGCTCCAACTCAGTGCAGCTCCAGCACGTACCCTTCTGACAAGAGAAGGGAAATACCACTCACCCTTCACCCCAGTGCCCCCACATCACACCACAGCCAGCCCTCTGGGCACTGCCAGCCTCCTTGTGGGAGGGTGAATGCCGCCCCAAGGAGGCAGATCCTCCACATCCAAGCTTTTTGAGTAAGCCATCTCAAACCCCCGGGCCGTGTGTTTCCAGGCAAAACAATCCCCTCCCCTGGCTAACTGGGCAGATCTGGGGATGCAAAGGGACGTGGGCACGGGCAGGTGGGGCCACACTGTGACTTTTGAGCAGCTCTGGGTCATTTCTCTCTCGTGTATCACACGAGAGCTGCTGGCACCCACAGCACTGTGTCATCCCAGACCTGTCCTGCTCACAGGGCAGCCACTGCAGCTCCCTCTCCGTGCCCTGTGCCATCTCTGTGTTCTGGCAGCATCACCTCTCCTCCCGGCACGACCAGGTGGGATTCAGCCCCGCGGCCACTCCCCGACCCACACGGTCCGTCAGAGGAGCCCCGGGGCTCCACGTGGCCGTGCTGTGTCCCCTCCCGGGTCTGGCAGCAGCTCCCGGTGGGAGCCGGGGGAGCCGGAGAGCAGCGCCCGGGCTGGCACCGCGCGGCCCCGGAGCTGCCAAGTGGGAAGGCAGGAAGGAAGGAAGGAAACAGGGACCAGACAGCGAAGGGCTGGAACCAGCAGAGAGATGGGACCGTAAAGGCACAGCAGAGAGGGAACGGTACAAACCCCGGAGAAGCCGAGGGTGATGACCAGCAGCCCGCTTAGTGAGCTGGTAATTAGCAATAATTGGGGTCTGATGGGGGGGGTGGGTCTGTCCACAGCAAAGGGCTCACAGGTACATCCCCAGCAAGGAGAACATCCACATCTCTGCTCCACACCCTGCCAACCAGGCAGGGGAAGGCGACGAGGAGGCAGAGGCTGGAAGCACAGCTGGGCACCTCAGTGCCACCCCTCCTGCCCTGCCTGCTCGTCCAGAATGGCCTGGCCTTGGGCATCTCACTGTGTTTCTGCGTGGCCCTCATCCATCTGCAGCCCCAGAGGGACTCGGCCCTGCACCCTCCCCATCCTGCTGACACTGCACTTCCACAGCACCGCGGGGGGAACGGGCCAAGGGCACCTCTGCTGTGCTCTGCTGCCCGGTGGCACAAACCTGGCCCTCCTCACGTGGCCCAGCCCAGCCTGGCTCACCCATCAGCCAGCCCGTGCTGCAGGAGACAGCACCTCACCAGGCTGTGACTGCTGATGGCTCCCTGACAGCAAAGCGGGGAGCCAGCGTGGGATTTCTGGGGGAGGGCGGGAGCCGGGCGGGATGTGAGATGTGAGATGTGCACAGTCACGGCAGGAAGAGCAGCTAACAAATGAGAGAGAGGCAGCCTCGGGCCTGGAGAGATGAGGCAGCTCTCTCCAGGGTACAGCAGGAGGGAGAGAGGCAGAGGCACCAGCAGCTGGTGCATCCAAGGCCGGGAGTGACGGGGAAAAGCACACGAGACATCCCAAAAACGCCTCTTCCCTCCCGCAGCCCCAGCGGAGCCACCACGGCACTGCCTGTGCTGGGCTGGGGAGCACCTTCCTTACTGGAGAGAGGCATTAATTGTGCATGATGTTGTGGCCTTAATAAGCACTAAAAATATCCCCTCAGTTTGCCCCAATGGGGAAAAAATTCCTGCTTCCAGCCCTAAGTTAAGAACGCGGTTGTACCCCCCTGCAAACACCAGCAGCCCAGGGGGGAACACAGCCCTGCTGCCCCTTCCCTGGCTCTGGCATTAGTGGGGAGCAAGAAATTGCTGCCAGATGCCGAAGATGCAGCTGCAGGACACAGTTCAGCACCCAGGGAGGCACCAAACAGCTATGGGAGGGATTCCTTTAGACACAACCCCCCCTGAAAGCATCCTTAAACGAGGTACCCCCTGACTTCCAGAGTACCTCGTGTCCTGATGATGCAAAACCAGTTCACCTCTCCCAAGGGCTTAAAAAGCAGCCCTGCTGTCATGCCACAGCCTGGTCTCTGACACCTCTGTGTCCCCATCACTAACCAGCCCCTGTGCCCAGCACAGCTCTGCACCAGCTGTGGCTGTGCCCAGGGCAGGCTCCACTTCAGCAGAGTCTTGGAATGCCACAGACTCTGTTTCAGGACCACCCAGAACACGCCCTGGCTCCATCACAGGGCCTGAGGGAAGGTTTAGGCTGATCTCCATAGGATTAGGATGGTCAGTTCTACAGTCAATCCTGCAGCCACAGCCAGCAAAGCTCCCCCTCTCCTTCCCTGGCTGTTCCCATTGCAGCAGGCAGGCTCCCTTCAGCTCCAAGCACATTTTCCCTGCCCCCAGGGAGCGTTTTCTAAGCCACTCACATCAAGAAGAAAAATGATAATCAGGCTAACTCAGACTTGCAAAACTGATCATTAAAACCCCAAAGCCCCGAGGGGAGAAGGTGAGGACATGGAGGAGGCAGGGATTATCTCACATCAGCCTTCAGGTCCCCTTGTCTCCAGAGGAAGCACAGCCAGGCTCAGGGAGCATTGCCTGACATGCACAAGTCACTGGGCTGCTCTCTCAGCAACAAAAGGTTTTCCCTTGCAGGGAGAAGTGTCCTGTGTGCACCAGCCACATGCTGGAGCTGAAACCTGCAGAAGGTGGGAGCCTGAAGGGCAGGGAGAGAACAGGGGCAGCACTCTCAGCTGATGTGCTGTGGGGTGCCCCGAGGCAAAGATGAAAGGAGAGTAAAAGGGTCCCATCTCACCCACCCTCCAGGCCCTGGTGTGGGTCACTGTGAGTGGAGCCTCCTCAGGGCTCCAGCACAGCACCAGACCCAGCAGTCCCCTCCTCTTCTCTGCTGAACACCACTGGGATTAGCTCAGGGCTGACCCAAACACTGGGAGCAAAAGCAAGTGTTCGGCAGGACACAAAAATGCAGTTTCTGAATAAAAACCAACAACCCGGGGCTCAGGAGCTCAGTCACTTTGGTGCTTCTGCCATCAGTGTGTGGGGCACAGCAGCACAGAGGGAGCATGATTTTAGCTTCACCAAGCAGGCCTAAAATCCAACAACGTGGGAAAGGAGAGTGGGAAGCAAGAGGGAGAGGGGCAGGGGATGCAGGAGAACAGAGCTCCCCCCTGGAGCTTGCAGTGCCGGGGAACTCAGGGCTGGATTACCCAAAAATCTCACCTCCCACTTGGGTTTCTGAGCCCAGGGAGGGCTTCAGGTCCCCCCAGCACTCCCACCCAACACAGCCTCACACCACATCAGGAGCTCCTGGGAATCCAGGGAATACCAGGAAACAAAGAGTGTTCATGGTGCTTCCCACAGAGGAGCACAGGGTTCCTTGGAGGGGACACCAGCTCCTGCCAGGGCTCTCTGTGCTCCTGGAGCCTCTAAAACCACAGGGCAGCACCAGGGTTTGAGCCAGGGCTCTCACTCCACCTCAACCCCAACCCCACTCGTGCAAACACCTTGTGAAAAATCCATATTTCCTGAAGCAGAGCTTGGTCACAACAGCAAAGCCCAAGCAGGTGTTACCAGAGAGCAGCAGCCTGTTGTGAACCTGAGGGTGAGTTTAAACAACACACCCTGAACTACATCCTGCTCTCCCCCAGCCCTGACTCTGCACCCCCAAAGGAGGGACCAGTAGCAAACCCAGGACTCCAGCACAGAGCAAACCCATTATTTCTACACCCCTCAGGGAACCTCACAACGACAAACTTTTTTCTTCCCAAAAAACCTCACGTGAGAGGGAATTCTGGAGCTGGTTCTGGCAGCCCAGGCTCTTATTGAAGGGATTCGTGCCATCATTATGCTCCATGTCCCCAGTGCCAGGAGCAGGGACCACAGCCCAGCACTCAGCACCTTCTCTGGTCAGAGGAACCAAACTTTATTGAGGTCCCACCACCCACTTCTGCCACAGAATGCAGTGACAACACTGCTGTCCCTCATGAGTCCATCAGATATTTTAAGCAAAAGCCAAAGCCTGTGTTCCTCAGGCACCAGGAATCACACACAGCTTGCAGCCAGACTTGGCTCGCTGCTCACAGGCAGGCGCTTGGGATGCTCTAGAGCAGCTTTCCATGTCCTAACTGGAAAAGATGACCTGCCCAGTGCTCCTCCCTGCCTGGCACCAGGGCAGGCATAGTTTGATTTATAAACCCACAGCAAGGCCCAGAAGCAGAAACCCTCAGCAGCAGGGACAGCTCAATGCATCCATCCCTGAAGAGGGGACAGTGCTGGAGCTCCTGGAGCCTGAACAGTTAATATTCCCATCCAAACCCACACATTTGTACCCTGGCAGGCTGTGAGTAACCCTCACAATGCTCACAAGCACGAGTATCTGAAACTGCTCCCTCCTGCCTGGCAGGGCTGTCAGTCCTCAGCTGGGATTCACAGGCACTTCCCAAAACCTCTGTGCTCCAAGAGGCTGCAACCCCAAACACATCCCGGTTCCGCAGCAAACACACTCCTTCCCCCTCTGCAGAGTTAAAACTTTGGGAGTCTCCAAGCACAAAACCCCAAATGGATCTGCGTACTCGGAGCTCTGGTAGGAGCTGACAGCAGGAAACAATTCTGCATTTTCCTTCCCTGCTCCTTCAAACATATGCGAGGCAGCCCCGGGGGCTGGCAAAGGCTCTGCCTGCTGACCCAGCACTCTCAGATCCGTGTCAGACCCGTTCCCACGTGCCGTTCCCATTCCTGGGCACCCCACCTGGCACAGCCCCACGGAGCAGCTCCTGCCTCTCCAGCCAGGGCACTTCAACGTGCCACGACGGCAAATTACAGGTGCTCAGACACCTCCTCCTTCAGCCGACCGCTCCCCAGGAGCGAAAACGCAAAAAAAAACGTTTAACAAAGCGTTTCCCGACGAGCATTTTTAAAGGATTCGTGCAAAAAAATTCTCCCGGCTCCTCCTCGCCCGTACACACGGGGCGCGTATCAGACACACGTTACATCACCACCCGGAGGACCGGTGACAATGTAAATAATCAGCTGATTCTCACAACTGCCACCAAGCCTCAAATCAAACGCCTCTCCGGCGATCTTTAGGGCTGAGCCATCGCGGGTTATTTATTTTAAACACATCCTGGACGGAAGGCTCGGTGCGGATCCGTGGCTGGCCGTGCCCGGGTCTCTCACCAGCCCCTCAAATTCCCTGCTCGCCCCCAGCCCCTGCCCTCGCCCCCCACTCACATCCCGCCACGTGTTTGCCCAAACTCCCGGGAAAGCACGACAAATGCCTCGCTTTCTGACGCCGAGGCTGTCAAAAACACGCTTCGAAAAATATATATTTTTTTGCGGTAAACAATCGAGGTCGAGGAGAAACAAACCCCCTCCCGGGAAGTTCTGGCTGTAACTTCACACTAAGGCTATCGCCGCGCCGGGCTCCAGGAACAGGCAGCTCCTCTCCCAGGGGATGGAACCACCCAAGGAGGAGAGGGGCACCCTCGGGAGCGGCTCCTGCCGGGAATCCCCCTCCCTCCGAGCGCTCGGGCGAGAGGGGCTGCGGACCCTCCGCGACGCCCACGGTCGCTCCACTCGGGAATGGTTTTCCCACGCAGCATCCCGGCAAAGCCGGCGGGAGGGAGGCGAATCCCGGGAAAGGAGGGGGGGGGGAGCTGGAGCTGCCCGCCCCCGAGCCGGGGTAGGGGAGGGGGGTCTGTGCGGAGCCGGGTCCCCCCCGCGGGAGGTGCGCTGAGTTTGCCAGGCGCTTACGTCCTCTTGAAGACCCCTCCGAGGCAGCTGCCGAGCAGGAGGCAGAACTGCTGGGAGAAGAAGACCCAGGTGATCTGGGAGAGGGAGCTCTGGGTCTGGCAGCGCAGGTCCAGCAGCGTGGGCCCCAGGAAGGCGATGCAGAGGCCGAAGCTGAAGAAGACGCTCCAGTAGGTGAGGGTGGGCTGCAG